ATCTAAACACTTAATCCCAAGAAGAGCCTATCCCAGATCTCACAAGGTCCATCTTATAACAGAGGGAAGGCCAAAGCATTGGTAAGAAGGGATGGGGGTGGCACACAGCTGGATTCTGGCTCCCGGTGAAACGGCACCCAGTGAATCATCAGATTTGCCCATTCTATTTCGTTGGGTCCAGGTTCGTTCATTTGTCATCACTGTTCGCTGAGGGACCCAGTGCATGAAACACTAAGGAGACCCCTTGCATTTCATGGCCATGGAGCCCGTAAGTAGAACACTAGGCAATTCCATTGCCTTTTCCAGTCAGGGGTTGAAGGGGATTTCCGTCCAAACAAGCCAACCGGGGCACTTACCGACTACTATTCTGGAGACACGGTGGCCGGGGCCCCGCGGTCGATCACGAGGGCCACAGAGGGATACGCATTGCTTTGGTCTCCTCCCTGGCGCGGAAGGCCCTCAGACCGGAGCAGTTGATTCCGGATCAACGAAGGGGGCCTCACTGACACCAAAAGATCGCTTACCGACACAAGAGTCCAATAATTGACAGGTGATTCTAGTTCAGCTCATTCGGCCCCTGACCGAAATGGAGAGGAGGTCCAGGGCTACGTTTATTCTTGGGCCCATTCCGACACAGTGCTCTTTCACTGTCTCATTATGAATCATTGCCATTTTTCCTATCTCCTTCCATTATCAGCGGGCCGGTCAATTTAAGAGACTTTCTGACATTCGGGGTCACATTTCTTTCCCTATTCAGAAAACGAAACCGTCGCTGACTCTGGGCCCTTGCCGACATGGGGTCCGCTGTTTAGGCGCACTGTGCCCCCCCCCCCCCCCACCGACCAACACAGCGGTTCCCCATTGCCTAAGGGACCTTGACCAATGCAAAGGGTTCTCTGAATGACCATCGTAGGCCCCAAAATGGTCCCGGATTTGGAAATAGGCTACAGGCCGCCACAGAAAAGACTTTTCAAAATTAGTGGTCGCGAATGGACTGGCGGGCCCTCATTGTCCCCAGGGGCCACCGATCGGCGCAAGGGGCTCACTGATGGACATTTGCGGGCCAGGATCCTTTGATGCAATCTCTGGCCAATTCTTCGGGACCCCTAGTCGGACTATTGGTCGTCGGCCCCGAAGAGCACTAGGGACCCGTCTGGACCATAAGGGAGACGTGTGCCCCCAGTGCCCCCTGATAATGTTATTAGGCTGATAAAGTATTCCCATGTGCCGAAAAGGCACCTCTCAGCTATTAGGCCCGGGATGAGCCCACGTCTGACGAAATTAAAAGATTGTACACGTTAGGTCTGGGGAGTGTCATTTTTTCATGACCAGACAAGCCAAAGGTCAAGTCCGGAAATATAATTTTTGGCCTGCAAGGACCTGGGAGGGGATGATCCTATCTTAGGCCCATAACAGGGACGGAGACGAGCCCAGATGATGGGCACAGAATGAGCTATCCATTCTGGGCCTCTCCCCATCCCCTTTATCGCGAGAGGACCCATGTTGGTACACCCACCGGCAGAACACATTGATAACGTGGCCAGATTTTTTTCTGTCACCAATATTTTCATTATTTTATAGAATATGGAAGCTCTAGAGCCGGCTTATGTTTCTGCTTCTAAAACAGTAGCGCAGGCAGAAGAGGGGGATGGGGGGGGGGCTGGGGGACGGTGTAGTGGGCTATGTGGCCCTGCTTCGTATCCGAGGGGCCCGAATGGCCCCTCGAGACCTACAATTAGGGGTCCGACTTGAGGACCCGAAGGGTTCAGAAGGCCAGGCGGAGGTCCGGGCATTTCAATGCCAGCCAGAGGGCCCTGCACGGATCAGGGGCCATGAGTAGGTAACAGGCTGTATGTATGATCAAGCACCATCAGGAACGCACAGTCGGCTTCGTGGCGGCATGGGCCTGAGTGCCCATTTCTCAAACAGGGAAAAGAGCGGAACCGGCGATTTACGTTGGACACGGCACCACAGCACCTAACGTAGACCCTATGCTCGCCAAGGCCCCAAATCGGTCAGAGGCAATGTTGAAGGAGGCCCGAAGAGCCTGGAGGACCCACCGGGTCCGATGATCAAGGGCTTGATTGGAACGTCTAAGAGTACGAAGGACTGACCGGTGTGCTATTCAGAGGTGCCGGCCTGCGGGGACTGACCCTCGAATGACAGTCAGAGAGCCCTTCGTACCGATCAGGGACACCCTGAGCCGATACATGTCTATACGTCGGTCAGGCACCACCAGTGCTGCACAGTCCGCTCCGTATTAGTATTGGAGTGGACTGTGGGAAGTAGGCTTGAGGGTCCACTTCCCAATCAGCTACAAAGCTGGGACCAGCGATTTACACTGGTCGGTGCACCTGTATCTATCAGCAGCGCCCAGTGCATAACAGAGTGCCCTATACTCGCAATGGGCCCGAAGCGACCAAAGACAGTTTTAGATGAGGCCCGAAGAGAGACCCGGGCGGCCCAACAGAACAGATTATCAAAGGCCCGGCTGAAGGGCATAACGGCCCGCAAGATTGGCTGTAGGTCATATAAAAACCGCGGTCCGTACGGTGATGACCTGAAATATCGGTCAGAGGTCCTCGTGTACCTTTAAGGACCCCCTGAGACAATGTGGGTGTGTAACTCGGCCAGAGACCGCGAGCACCGAACAGGTGGCCCCCTGTCAGCCTGAACCCACGAGGCCCATTTGCCAAGCAGGATCCAGGTCGGGAGCCACGATTGGCGCTGGTCTGGGCTTCTGAAACAGTGGTTGAGCCCCCTTGTCGGTCAGGGGCACACAGTGCATGACAGGGGGACAGTCGGTCACGGACTTCGTTTGATGAGGTTCGAAGAGGGACCGGGGGAACCCGCGGGACCAAAGACCAACGACACGATTGAATTCGGACACGGCTCCCACCCGTGGTGCCATGACCTGAAACGTCAGTCAGAGGGCTTCTGTTAGGTCCCTTTTGCTAGCGTTTTGTGCCCCTATTATATAGGGCTTCGACACTGAGCCAAACAGTCGGCTCCATGTCCGTCTGAGGCCATGGGACCCATTTCATAAGCAGGAATGAGGCCGGGGCCCGCGATTTGCAATGTTCGGGGTCCCTGACACAATGGCTCCTGCGTCGGCCAGGGGTCAGCTGCGCGGGTCAGAGGGCCTCCTGCGTCAGGGAGCGGACCAATATGATATGATGTGTCACTATAAGCTCTCACATCGGCCAGGGATGCCGCCCCGTGTCGCCAGCATGACGGCTGGGTGACACACCGCGGTGGGACAGAATGGCCCCTCAACGCTTCACCGGGAACGAAAATGTGCCCCGTAGTGTTCTACTCAAGGGGCCATTTTACCGGAAATGAATGGTCACATTAGCGTTGAATTGAGTCGACGGAAACAAGTTCAAAACGCGCCAAGCCATTCCATGTTTGCCTGGGAAAGTTCATTCTTTGTAGAATTGACTGGTGAAACAAATAACATCAAAAGGTTTGAGTCTGCGAGCTGGGTGCCGATAGTGTAGTGGCGCCTACGTTAACCGTAACGCGTCTGGGAAACTCCAGGCGCGGGGTTCGATTCCTCGCGGCGCTCGCCTTTTTCGCCAGGGTGAGAGGCTGGCGACGCCGTGCAGCCCCAGTAGCTGAGTGCATCACAAACCCCCAATGACTCGCCCGTAATCTCGGGGAGCAAGGAAAGCGACAGCTTGGGTTGCAGTTTCCGTAAAAGCTTTTTTCGTAAAACAAATTATTCGTCCATTTTAACGTTGTTTTTCCTGGGAGCCGAAATTCCACGAGCGGGTGGGCATTTTGGGTCATTGAGGAGGCATCTGTCTCCACAAAGAAGATTCCAAAATATGGCCTGAGCATAGCCTGGTGAGAATTTTGAAAGTGAATCGATGGCTCACAGCACAACAGATTTTGGATGCGCCTTTATTTTGCTGGCTGCTTTTCAGGAGATAAGACTTGTCGTAGCATTTTAGGCGGAAACAAATTCGGAAGCTTGAAACTGCCAAAAACCATGGGACAAAAGCCATAGAAGTGGAGATTCTTCTTTGAAGACCAAGCCACAGAATGAAGGCCCTTCTGTCATATATTCCTTGTCTGAGCCCTGCTCCCGTCCGCCGTCGGTGGCCACTGTCCTGGCCCGGCTGTCTTCGAATGGCTGACTGCTAACTGATGGTATGGCCGCTTTGTTGCGCATTTCTGGATCAGCATTGCTACTATCTTCCCTTACACCACACCACCCCAGAAAAATCCTGCCGCGAAGCTGCCTAATTTAGGTATGAATTGGCCAAACGGACATTTAATTGCCCGTCATTCAACGTAGATGACTTGATCTGTTTTTGTGTACAGGCAGGGGGTGGCCAGAGCCTTGCTAAGAGGAACGCAGGGTAAAAGCAGGTAAAAGCCCCCTTTATGGTGATCCCCCCCCCCCCCACAAAAAGCATCCTGAATATAGTTTACTTGTTAGCGAGAGATCCGGTTTTCTTCGTTTCACTGTTAATATTACGTTGTGACCAGAACAGAAACCAGAGACTACCGTGAAAACAATTCTGTTTACATTTTTAACACGCACTCGGTTGGCCTGCTAGACACCCTTCGCTCGAGTGGCGGGTCAATTTGTCCCCTCCCCTGAGATCTTGGTAACTAAGAGAGATAGAAGCACCAACTTCACAGATTGTGTTGACCTGTACGTGAACTCCCTTAATCAAAGTTTGGGATTCCTTGGTCATGACTTTTGGGTCGAATAACGTCAAACAAGGTCAAATTCCAGGTTGGTTTCTTAAGTGCCCCCAGAACTTATGTAACTGTTTCTAAGGAAAAGGTCGCATGTTCAGTTAGCGTCAGTAACCATGTTTGACCTTTTGAAGGTCATGATGACTAAAATCATACAAAACTGCTCTGAGTTTTGCATTTGAATAAGCGACAAAGATTACGCTAGGCGGTGTTTTTCTAAAAACAATATGTTGATCCAGGTCATTTTGGGTCAATGATATATTCTGACCTCTAACAAGTCCATGGAAACCATACACAAACACGCCGTTTTCAGAAAAACCTGCCGCAGGCATGTCACTATTCGACCGCTGAGGCTAAGTGGCCAGTTAAAAATTGATGGTCATACAAATTCTAAAGGGTGTAAGACCATACTTCTGAATTCTCTGAAGCTTGACTGAATTCGAAAAGAAAAGTCCTTTAAGATGATGCTCGCCTCTCGGACACGTAACACTCCCCACGAAATGGAACCAAATCTATATGTATTTTTCATGATGCGCGATTATATGAGCCAATAGCGTGCATTGCCAACTTACATAAACAATTATTATACATCGATTGTAACTTGCTGACACCACATCACCGCCAAATAAAAGGTGAAAATCAATAATTTGTTTAGACACGAGATCAGGGTGTTTAAAGCGTTGGGCAACTCCGTCGCTAGATGCAGCGCTATTAATACGCGCAACCGTACATCTTTTTGCTAAATTAATACTTGATATCACGTTTTAATAAAGCATACAACTGAAGCTTCTTTGCTTCTTTACAGCTTCTTTGGCAACCACAACTGCAATCCTAGTCTCATCTGAGCACTCATTAGAGCAGAGGATATTTGTGCGCCGGCAGAGGCACAAGCTTGCCGTCCACGTAGTGTTTACAGACAAGGCGGGCACAGCATTCGGGGAACTCCTTCCTCCTGTCTCCCCGAGCCTCGCGGCAGAACAGGTTGTCGGCCTGCAGCTTCTTAAAGTCCACCTGCTTTTTAACCTGCGGACACCTGCAAAAGCGAAGTGTTGATGAAGACAAGCCAACATCCAAAGCCGCTGGTTTTACGGGACGAGTATGTTGACAAACGGTAAAGTATACAGAGCTGCTTAAAGCAAATGCAGTTTTCCTCAGCGTCCAAGTGCCAATTCATGAAATGTAGGTAATGGAAGTTGCAATAGCGTTTTTACTAAAACAATATCACATGTTCCTTTTGCTCCATAGGACGACCTGTGACACTGCGTGACATTTACTGGCGAGATCAATCCGTCAGACTCACTGGAATCTGTCAATGTAGAGAACGCCCTCCTCCTTGACGCAGTGACTCTGTTTACAGCCAGAGAAGGGGGAGCTCCATACGTCCCCTATGTTGAACTCCTTGTCAATGTTGCTGTCATGACATTTGGTGTCGTCATCTGGAATATGCGTATCGACCGCGGGTTAGATAAGATCATTGGTTGGAGTGGATCGCGGGTTATATCGGAGGTTAAAATTGATAGCTCGCTGTCCTCGAAGTCAAAATATCCAACACATTCTTCATCATACAGCATTTTCCATGCTGAAAATGTCAAGCCAATGTTATCTTATGGTCGTCAGTTGAGCAAGAAGCGAAGTGAAGAAACAGTATCTCTCCAACCCAAATCTTACCTCTGCCAACCGGGAAACGAAGGTACCTCGGGTACTGTGCACAGCACAGCTGCACACAAACAACAGCGATGACCAGCAGTTTCCACATATTGCTGACTGAAAATCTGACGCTAGTCCACTCTCGTCTGCTGTCTGGTCTGACCACCAAACGCTTCTGTATGCAGCCTCCAGCGGCCGGCTCGCTATATATGCAGCACCGGACCGTGACGTCACGTTGCATAGGGCTGGCCGTAGTGTGGGAGGCCTGCGAGAAAATCTCTTCAGCAGCGATGTTTTCGACGCCGCGCATGCAGTGGTTACATTGCGGTCATTCGGGGAGAACGTCGTTGGAAGAGTGCTATTCTCGACACCTTGCCTGACGCCCGGCTTTTGGGCACCGACAAGGTGACAAGTCCGTTCCAGTGGAACCGATACGAGATCTGTGGTAAAACCAGCCGGTCGACGATGCTGAACATGCCGGATGAGCTTAGAGAGGGAGGCGAGCGGTGTGGGTCATGATGGTAGGTCTCACATCAGCCAGAGATGCCACCCCGTGTCGGTAGCATGACGCCCGGAGGACACACCGCGGTGCGACAGAATGGCCCTTCAACCCTTCACCGGGAACAAAACTGCGCAGCGTAGTGTTCTACTCAAGGGGGCCATTTCACTGGAAATGAAAGGTCTCATTAGCGTTGAATGGAGTCGGTCGAAATAAGTTCAAAACGTGACAAGCCATCCCATGCTTGCCTGGGAACGTTCATTCTTTGCAGAATCGACTGGTGAAATAAACAATATCAAAAGGTTTGAGTCTGCGCGCCGGGTGCCGATAGTGTAGTGGCGCCTACGTTAACCGCAGCGCGTCTGGGAAACTTCAGGTGCATGGTTCGATTTCTCGCGGTGCTCGCTCTTCTCGCCATGGTGAGAGGCTGGCGACGCCGTGTAGCCCCAGCAGCTGAGTGCATCACAAAGCCCGGATGACACGCCCGTAATCTCGGGAGCAAGGAAAGCGACGGCTTGGGTTGCAGTTTTCGTAAAACCTTTTTTCGTAAAAAAAATTATTCGTCCGTTTCAACGTTGTCTTTCGTGGGGAGCCGAAATTCCACGAGCGGGTAGGCATTTTGGGTCATTGAGGAGGCATCTGTCCCCACAAGGTAGATTCCAAAATATCGCCTGATCATAGTCTGGTGAGAATTTCGAAAGTGAGTCGATGGCTCAAAGTAATACAGATTTTGCATGCGCCTTTATTTTGCTGGATGCTTTTCAGGAGATAAGACTAGTCGTGGCATTTTAGGCGGAAGCAAATTCGGAAGCTTGAAACTGTCAAAAACCAGGTGACAAAAGCCATAGAAGTGGATAGTCTTCTTTGAAAGCGAAGCCACAGAATGAAGGCCCTTCTGTCATATAGTTCTTGCCTGAGCACTGCTCCGGTCAGCCGTCGGTGGCCACTGCCTTGGCCCGGCTGTCTTCGAATGACTGACCGCTAACCGATGGTATGGCGGCTTTGTTGCGCATTTCTGGATCAGCATTGCCACTATCTTCCCTTTCGCCACACCGCCCCAGAAAAATCCCGCCGCGAAGCTGCCTAATTTAGGTATGAATTAGCCAAACGGACATTTAATTGCCCGTCATTCAACGTAGATGATTTGATCTGTTCTTATGTGCAGGCTGGAGGTGGCCAGAGCCTTCCTAAGAGGAACACAGGGTTGAAAAAGCCCCCCCCCCCCACCTTATGGTGATCCCCCCACAAAAATATCCCAGGATATAGTTTGGTTGCTAGCGAGGGATACTTTTTTCTTCGTTTCACTGTTATTTTTACGTCGTCACCAGAACAGAAACCAGAGACTTCCGTGAAATCCATTCTGTTTACATTTTTAACACGCAACCGGGTGGCCTGCTAGATACCCTTCGGTCGGGTGGGGGGTCAATTTGATCCCTCCCCCCTGAGATCTCGGTAACTAGGAGAGCTAGAAGCACTAAATTTACAGGGTGCCTTGACCTGTACGTTGACTCACTTAGTCAAAGTTTGAGGTTCCTAGGTCATGACTTTCGGGTCAAATAAGGTCAAACAGGTTCAAATTCCAGGTTGGTTTCTTAAGTGCCCCAGAACCTAGATAACTGCTTCTAAAGAAAAGGTCACATGTTCAGTTAATGTCAGTAACCTTGTTTGACCTTTTGAAGGTCATGACGACCAAAATCATACAGGACTGCTCTGAATTTTGCATTTGAATAAGCGACAAAAATTACGCCAAGCAATGTTTTTCTAAAAACAAAATGTTAACCCAGGTCATTTAAGGTCAATGATATATTCTGACCTCTAACAAGTCCATGAAAGATGTATAATGGAGTTCCTGCTGTCAATAAACTCGAAATGAGCACCAGAATCTATCCCGTACAGCAGGCCCTAAGGTAATACAACAGATCGTTTTTGACCTTGGTCTGACCCTTTTGCCTGACCTTAGGTCAACGCAACTTGCTCATTCAATATTTGTGTTGCCTAAGAAAGCATCCCAGAGATGGATGGCTTCGTCTAGCACTCAATGGTTGCATCAGATTGAACGATTCCCTAGAAGTTGACTTCGCTGAAACCATGGCCTGACTTTGACCTGCCATAGGCCAGCGACCTTACAAAGTACATCTAATTTTTTATGCCAAACGATTCGCTATTCAATTGTCTAAAGCTATGCAAAACAGGGCGCGGCTGCGCCGCGCCATTCGGAAACCATTCTTGAAAAACCTTGGGGGGCGAGCCGAGTTGACCCCCACCCGAGCGCGTGTTGATATCAATAAACTGCAGAAATCAAGCGTTTAACGACCGCATGGAATAAATCACCGGTGTCCGTAATTACAAGGGCTTAGTAGACTCTTTCTATACCGATAGAAGTCAGAAGCTTTTTCATAATGTTTTATCTGCATTCTACATGCATTGAGGACACCGCGAAGGCAGATCGCAGAGCGATGTGTTTGATCGAAATTTGAGGATGAAAATTTTGATTGTAGATCGAGTGGTCAACAATGTGTATTAACGTCACCAATCCATGTTTGTTTGGAAATGTGCAGCATTGAAGCAAAATGGAAGGGGTCTTTGTTTGAATACAGATCAGGGTATGAATAAGAATGCAATCTGGCCTTCTGATCCATCAAACATAGCCAGAAGACGAAAACATTCGCTTGCTTAGAATCTTTTCAACGAACACGACTTTAAGCTATCGAAAACACACCCTTGATACGCATTTCCCAACGTACCGCAACTTATACGTTATACCCGGGCCTGATGTGTCGCCCTGCCCGAGACTTATCCAAATCCAGTGGTAGAAAGTGGCATTCATAAAATGCTACCTCACCGGAAAAAACAGGAGCTTTCAATGCCGATTCATACAAATGCTGGCTTGTATAATAATACAAACATATCAGGGTGGGAAATGAACTGCTGGTAGGATTCGGTTCTAAAGGCATTGATTTCATATGATTGTTTGCATGCAGAAACATTATATCTCCACAATGAAATTATTTGCAGGGCTTGACTTGCACCAGCGTAAGACGCCACTGCTGTTACTTGTCGGGCTTGGAAGTGCTGCCAAACCACGGTTTAATGAGTTTATTGTCGTGTAATCATTCATATCACACACAGCTTCAAGGGATTTGTGAATAATTAACGACTGTTGTCGTGCAACAACTCTCAAACTACACATGCTTCCAATATGAGTAGGGTCTCTGAAATGATTAAGAGGCTCGTTTAACATGCAAGTTATCTTAGTTGATACAAATTGTTTGCTTATGCATACTAATACAATTGCATGGAAACAGTTTGTCGTTAGAGTGTTTAGTGTTGACTAGAACCCCGAGAAACAAGCTTTTTGAAACTTTTCAGTGATTCGACTTATCGTGAAAACGACTTTTTCGCAGGTAATAGACATGCAATCTGCATAGGAGAGCCCACATGTCCATGAATGTAACGTTTTATGTTCAACACAAGTGCAACTGTGTGCATTGTTCAACACTGTAAAGCCAGCTGTCCGAACTAGCAAGCAGTTCGTTTCTCAAGTGCAAACGTCAAAAGTATCGTGAGGTCCTGCGCCTGAGAACCGTCCGACTCGCCGGTCGGGGGCTGGCCGCCCCCGCCCGCCACACGAGGGAGGGCGCCTTTTGCGCTCGGCGTGCCGCGGGGTGTGCCGTGATTCGGCCGGGGCCTCTTCCCCCTGTCTGCATACCACTGACGCCGACCCCGTTAGATCGCAGCTATTTCTGCCGTGCGAGAGCGGCTTTGCTAGTAGTTTCATTCATGCCAGTTTGGAGACGCCTGAAAACGCACTCGATTTCTGGGCGTTGACTAAGATAGTGGCATGATAATGCTGCAGCCGTCATAAATTCAGGTATGACACTAAAACAATACAGTTAATACAAAAATATGGCACTTATATGGCACTAAGATTCCAGCTCTTGGAAAGGCACATGTTCGAACAAAAGAACGCAGAAAGATCTATGCGAAATAGAACAGCACCTTCCTCAAAGCAAATGCAAGACATGACCAGCCGTACGCAATGCTGTGAATACCTGGCTCCATGAAGCCAACTTAATTTCCGAGGTCCAAACTTAAACAAGACTGCAAAGTACACCCATTGCCGCAAGTTGCATGCATCTCGTAGCGTATCCCGGAACATGCACTCAAGGTGCATGCACCTTGAGCAGGCTGTTGGCAGTCTGCAAAGTATTCTGATGCCGGTCTACTCAGTTACAAGCATTCCGCGGGCACGGCCAGCGACATCACGCCCACCCCCAAGGTTCGGCGGCTTTTGCCAAAGGACCAGTTCTCACAATGGTGACCAGTCCCCTCTTGAACCTCGCGGCGATTACCCAGCGGGGTGGCGGGGGAGCGGCGGCGGTCGCCAGGCGCCGCCACCGCAAAGATGTGTGCGTATGGAGAAGGTGGTCTTCTGACTCTAAACACAACTATTTAGCGTACCGTCGAAAACCCATCCTACCAGTACCGACCTCAAAAACGACCTAAAGTCACTTCGTAGCGCTTTGAACACTTTTCCACAAACAAGCTTTACCATGCTGGAATTTCGGTACTGCCAAGCAATTTGGTACTGCCAGACGGGCGTGCATTCACACTTCAGAGGCGTTAGGTTAGCTTTTACAAACACACACGCACACA